CTATGGCTGGAATCAAACATACCCTCATGAAGCCGGAAAAATTGAAGTGTTAAATTCTCCATAATGTCTGTCTATGTATGTTGTATGTCTAAATGGCACTGAATCTTTGGCATGTATACGTGCATTGTAATCCACCCTGAGTCCCCTGTGGGGTGAGAAGGGTGGAATATAATTATTACAAATAAATAAATAAATAAACAAACAAACAAAACAAGCTCCTGACTTGTCCGTTTCCCACTTGGGAGGAAGACCCAATCACAGCAGATTGCTTATCTGTGCCAATACCAGAATGCAACCATTCTTCTGAGCTTATTAACTGAACAAACTGCCTGTACCTCAAGGCTGATTTATAGCTAGAAGAATAGCTGCTACCTCTTTAATGACAAAGAGATGTGTTAAAAGTGCCTGCCATGGGGCTAATGCCACATTTTGGCTGGTGTCTCTATTCTCTCCTTCTCTTGCTGAGTGCTCTTGGCTTTTGTTCTGTTTTGCACAGAGTAGTTGAATTTCTATCCTTCCAACAGGAAGGTGGTTGTCTTCTTGTAGAGGAAATATTTCATTCTTCTTAGCAGTTTGTTTCTCTGTAGTGTGATCTGACCCGACTTGAATATAGAATCTCTGGATCCTTGTCAGAAATTCCTAATGGATTCAGCAAGTGGTTCTGCGTTTGAGCACATTTTAGTTATCTCCGTCATCCCCCCCCCCCCCTTTAACTGTTGTCTCTGGACATTGTTCTGTTGGCAATATTTCCAGACAACTTACAAGAGCCAACAAATGATGTCAGCTTGAAGCTTCGGTTTTTGATTTCTACCACGTCCTTTATAACATAAAAATATGGAACAAAAGGAAATACTTATTTCCCCCCAAATGTGTCAAAAGTGGTTTACACTCAAGAAGCAGAAATACAAAATAGTAATGCTGAGCCAGAAGGGGGAAAGGAATTTCTCAGATTATGTTAAAAAGAGGTTAGGCAGTAAGCCTGAGAGATCTCTTCTAATATTTGTGGTTCAATTACCACCAATAGGAAAACTGTTTTCATCTGACTGGTCGAATGTCCAAAAGCGATAGCACAGAAAGCAAGGCCCTCTGCCCCCATCTCCAGAGTTTGGGCATACTTGTATTGACATTTCAGCATATTATGTTTGACCCTATTTAGCGATTAGATGGTCCGGACAGCTCTTTCAGTGGAGTAGAAATAAACAGGCAGGCAGCCAACAGAATTGACGTGGTGTTACTAGCGCCGATGGACATGTGCTAAGTCCAGCTGCTATGTTTTGGATCAAAGCTTTTCCCTGAGTGGCGATAGTAATGCACGGGTGCAATCAATTTGAGCTGAATCTGCCACTGTGATTAATGCTGCTGGATAGGCATCTCTATTGCGTGCAGAGGTTTCAGTGCTAAAAGCACACAGCCTTTTCCATTTTATGTCACTCTCTTTTGTGGTCCATTATTGACAGTCAGTCACATTGACAGAAATTCAGTAAAAATATGGAAGTCCCACCACAGGCTTGCTAGACAGGCTATTTAAGGACTCTATGGGTACACTCCTCATTATCCCCATAAAACATGTTCAAGTCCTGCTTATTAGGTGAAAATAATTTTATGGTTGTGGGTCACCACAACATGAGAAACTGCATCAATGAGTCGCAGCACTAGGAAGGTTGAGAACCACTGCACTAACTAAGACTGCATTGAAACAAAGTCAAGGCATTGTGCATACAGAGGAAATTCTAAGAAATATAAGAAAATTAATTTTTCCTAAAATTGAAACTTTAAAAACAGGATGAACCTTATATTGAATGGCTACTTTGGTGGAATCCATCCTTTGGACAGACTGCCTTGACATCAGTAATGTTGCTCCCTCCTCCTTGCACTTGCTTACTGAGCGTTTCTCAGAAATTGAGTTCAAAAGAGATGTGGAGCCAAAAGCTTGTAACCCCTGGCTCAGACTGCAAAGAGCACTGGCGTTATGGATGTAGCTGCTCTTTTCGTTGCTACTTCGTAACTGTAATTTTGCTACTGTTATGAATTGTAATGTGAATATCTGATATGAAGGATGTGTCCTCATTCACTGGATGAAATGTGGCACAAATGATACGCCCACATTTGAATACTGGTGGGATTGGGGGGAATTGATTTTGTCATTTGGGAGTTCTAGTTGCTGGGATTTATAGTTCACCGACAATCAAAGAGCATTCTGAATGCCATCAATGATGGAAGTGAACCACACTTGGCACACAGAACTCCCATGACCAACAGCGAATACTGGAAGGGTTTGGTGGGCACTGATCTTGAGTTTGGGAGTTGTAGTTCATCTACATCCAGAGAGCACTGTGGACTCAAACAATGATGGATCCAGACCAAACTTGGTACGAATATTCAATATGTCTAAATGTGAACACTGGTGGAGTTTGGGGAAAATAGACCTTGATATTTGGGAGTTGTACTTGCTGGGATTTACAGCATTCTGAACCCCACCAACGATAGAATTGGACCAAACTTCCCACACAGAATCCCCATGACCAACAGAAAATACTGTGTTTTTGATGGTGTTTGGCAACACCTCTGACACTGCCTCACGATGCCCCCAGGTTGAGAAACACTGAGTTAGTGTAACCATTTCTGGGGAGCGAGGAGGGAGTGTGAAGAAACTCAGGCAACTTGTCTGCCTGAGTATATTTTACTAAGTCTATGGGCTTGTTGGGGAGGCATTCAAAGCAGGAAGCAGTGCTCAGCCAGACAGTAAAAAGCCAGAACGGAGTCTGTATAAACCAAAAAGGTTAAAATCATTGCCTTCTCTGAGTGGCTGGCAACTCTCCTCACTCCAGCTTTCCTCCTGACTAGAACTCTCCAATTCACAATGTTATCCAGAAAGTGCAATCACGCCTATGCCCATCAAATTCACTTTCTTCTGAGGAGATTGAACCAATACACTATTTCCATCTCCTTTTATCTTTAATTTTGTTTTTTAAAAAATGCTTTCTTAGTCAATGTTTTAGGCCGTACTGTTGCAACTTCCAAATCAGAGGGCTGATGAAGGGACCTTATCTATAGATGTCTTAACAGTCTTTCTTGATTCTGCAGCCAACTTTGTGGAGTCACAAAAACGACACCTAAGGCTGCCTTTCTTCTATTTCTGCTATAGACCACATTCTATCTGAATGTTTACAGCAAGTGCCTTATAGCTTTCAAATAAACAAAACACTATATATATTACAGTTGTTGGGTGTGTGGGTTTTTTTCCTAATAATTTTATTTAAATAAGACACAAGAATTTCTATACTGAAAAAAATACAAAACAAAAGCCACACTTTTCCTCATGTAAAGCAATATTGTGTGGTAATATGAATACTGTTTAGCACAGTGGCTAGAAATAGCAGTACATCTATGTACAAAACTCCTGAAACAAGATTTGACAACCTTCTACAGCTGTATGTACGATATATCAGAGATCAACAACGGCTGGGGAATTTACATAGCAAAGCATTAGCTCTAACACATTTGATTCAGAACCTTCCAAAACACTAAGAACAAATGCATGTTGACAATTAATATGCAGTTTCTCGTGGGAAACAGAACAAATCATATCACTGCCAAGGTTGTACACCAAAGTTCATTCTTGATCTAAAAGGCAGCTGATAGAGCTTTCCATTAACTGAAGCATTGCAAACCAAGACTATGTAATTCTATTTCAAAACAAGCATTAAAAAGGAACTGTACGGTTATATTCAACTTTACTGTAGAACCTTAAAGGAACGCACATTTGATCACAAGAATTGAACACTTTTCCCTTATGCTTTAAGATACAAACTATATAGTGCTTTCACCGAGGCCTGAGATTAGTAAGCTTAAGACGCCTGTTGCTGGATTGGTTTTTTTAAAACGAAATTACTGTGTGTACATGAAACAGATTTAAGCTCCCACTCTCAGCATACTCTTACAGTCATACAACAACTGTACAGAGGCTGTTAAGTCTACACTTCCTAACAGGCTATTACCAAATTCTTTGGTGACGATAGGAAGGAAACTGGGCTTTATCTTGCAACAACACACACATGCTATATAATTTCCATATTTCTTTTCTTAGGTACTCTTGATTGAGGCCTTTTTTTTTCCTCTCTCTCCTCTCCATTTTTCATTGGAAAGTAGTGGAGTGAGTATAAATGCAGCAGCGGTAGCAGCTGCAGCTTTAATCTTTTCAGTTCCTGAACAGAGGAAGCAAGTTTTCTAGACTTGCATAAAGCTACTCCCACAGAACTGAAAGCAAAGATCCAAGAATATTGAGTGCCTCTTGCCTTTGGGCTCCTCTTTGTATTGCAGATTATTATCTCCAAAAGCAGTGCTGTCACAGTTCCAGGGCAGTAAGGAAATGCTGCTTGTTGCTCCCAGGCGATGCAGCATCTGCGAAGACAACGCACAGGCCCCAGCACTGTCCACCCACTTTCAAAGGGTGAGAAATCTCACTGTCAATGGTCTAAACCAGTACGAGCAAAGGCTTTGATAACGTAACTATTGCTTTTTTCTGTTTTCCTGTTTTTGTTATTTTATAAAATCTTACATATTTCTTAAAGAGATTTCTTTTTCAAATGTAGGCGCAAAATACCCACCGTACACATAAAATAAAGTTTAGCTATCCATATCCTCCCAAGAGTGATTTTTTTTGCAACCAGCACATTATTAACATATATTTTCTCCAAAAGAGAAACTAAACGTTAAATTCTTAAAATGGTAACAGTAGCATTTCATGTCCTTAACTTGCCAATGCAAACATGAGGGGAGTAAAAATCCTGCACCCCTATTGAAACTCAATTATTTTTTCTTTTCCTGTAATTAAAATGAAAAAAAAAATGTCTTGGACTGTTTCTCTCACACACACCATGGAATGTTTCTTATGTACAATCTTGTACTGCATTCACAAACAGCTTAATAATTATTAACTGTGCAACACCTGAAACATTTAGATGTGAGTCGACACGCTAAAATGACAGTAAATGCAATGGTTGTTTCACTTGTAACCACATGACAATGTAATGACAGACATCACAATTTGCTGGTTCTCCTCACGTTTTTACCCATGTCAAGGGTAAGTTATTTCTCTAGATTTGAATGCACTTTTCCCAAGAAAGTGGAATGTAATGAGGAAATATGTATGCATAAAATAATGAAAGGCAGAAGAGTGATGTACCCTCTTTAGCTTTTTAGCTGTAAAATATTTTATATCCCAACGTGATATACATTCCAAGTTACCTGAGTTTAGACTTCGAGAGAAGTACCTGAAGCTAGGCCATAGGGTGGGCACTGTGCAACTGGTGTGGCCATATATTTTTCTTTTTTTGCATTGTATGTATTACAGAAGTTCAAAACATAAATACCTGGATAAATTGTAAACATAATCCTGACATACAGTATTTTCCATAGAACACAACACAGCAATACATTTTCTATTTAGACAGGCAACCTCTGTTTGATATAGAGCTTATTTATACTGTAAAATTTGAAACAGGACTCAGTACTAATCTGGCCAAACATTCTATGAAATGCATAGTCTTCACTTAAAATGCTTAATGATACTCAGATCCTACAAACATTCTGTTCCTCCCACCCAAATATGCGCAACACACAAATGCTGAGTAAGAGCATTCTGTCCCTGCCAAAAACAGCACTGAAATATAGAAAGAATATGATAAGTAGCTTTGTTTTGTTTTCTGGAAAAATTGCCACTCATGCAATTGAGTTTCAAACTGATACTCTGACTTGATCTAAATTATTACGTAATTTTGAGGAAGGGCATGGTCTTCAGACTGCAGGTCTTGTAAAAGCTGTGGTGGTTGATGGGATGGCTGTTGGACTAAGACCTCCGTAGAGTCCACTGCGCTGGTGTCGTCCGACAGAGAGGAGAAAGAGACCCGAGAGGAAAGCTGCTCAACAGTCAGAGTACTCAAAGCGGTGCTTTGACCAGAATTTGGAGAGCTCTTAAGCGTTAGGTCAGAAGCAGGGAGTAAAGGACCCAGAAGTTTTACAGGACAGAAAGCTGATCCGGTTGGGATGAAATTAACCTTGTTTTTGTCAGGACATGAAAAGAGAGGGGCTGAGACAGGCTGACGAGTCCTATAACAAAACGGGTGCAAAAAAAACTAAAGTTAAACAGTTGAACACAGTTGGATGTGGTTTAATGTAGGTTTTGTATGTTGCTAAAATATGAGTAACACAGAATGGAATTATCTGACGAATGGGCAAACATCTTCCATATTGGTAGTCAGCTGATTGATTCACAGCAATAAAAATCCCAACCAGAGAGCAATTAGAGTATCTACAGGTTTTAGCAATGATTCTAATATACTAACCAGGTTGCAAATCCAGCCATGTGGGGTTTATCAACAGAAAATTCCCAGATTAAACACATGAAACGGCTGCACAATATGAGACAGCTATTCTTCTTCTTCTCAGCAATACTTCATTTTCTAAGCAGATTCTTCTGCTGTTAAGTCTAGAAGCTATTTTACTGGGGCTAAAATAACGTATTGGGGCTTGAGTCACTTGCCCATGCAACAAGAACTTGTCTTCCTACACCGACAAATTGTCCTATTTTTAGCTCCTGATAAAGTTATAAAGAAAAAGGGGAAACAGGGGCTCTATTGCATTTATTAGCTATCTCAGTCTCTCTTAGATACATATGGATACACATACACACACATAACTATCTCAAGGAAACTATTAAGTTTCACTGAAAGAACTCTAGCCATAGCTGCTGCTGTCAAACTTTAAAAGCTAAAGAACTACAGCTACATTGTTACCCTTTCAAAGGTAGTTTTATGCAGGTTGCAGTTATGTTTGTTGGAATACTAAAGAAACCATTGCTCAGCTTGCATTTCCCCCTTGGTTGTATTTTTATAAATATGGGCCACATGGTTAAGAATAAAAATGTTCCATTCCCCCTTACAGGAACATTTCAATTTCTTCACTGTGCAAAACCGGCAAGAGTGCTTTGCTTCTGAAAGGGAAAAAAACTCTCATCAGCTGGAGTACTTTATTCATCTGCAGTTGAAAAAGGTCCAGTGAAAAGGTTTCCTGTATTTGCAGATCCCAGCTGATATAAAAGGCTTTACTTACGACATTTCCTCAAAGACCTTCACTCGCTCACATCCCTCTGGGGGCTCTCGTTTGAACATGTAGCTGTTGTTGGGTTTAGGAGAGGAGGCATACTTGGGCAACGGTGAGCTACTCCCACTGTCTGAAAATTTAAAGCAGTTGTATTACTAGGGATTGAGAGCGCTTTTTAATTAAATCTGATTTCCAAACACAGTGGCTTTTGCAAAACTTTACCACTAGTGCCCGTTTACTTCAAATTATTGAACTTCTTTCACTGTAGGCTGCTTCTAGCACTCTCTTCTCGATAAAGGTTTCAATGAAGCCACAATCTTCTATATAGCAGTGCATAACAGGAAGGTACTTTTTATCCTAATGCTACAAACTGAATAAAGAAAAGCTATAATCCTGGAAACAAATAAGTTCTTCAGTATGCATTTCTGAAATGTAAATGATCAAGTCAATATTTCTACTATATTAAAAAAAAAGGCAAGTGGTTAATGGTAATATAGAATTCAGCCGTGCCTTATCAATGCATAAACCCTGAAAATGTCATAAATAGCTTCTGAAATACAAAATCATTTTGAAATATTGTTCATGGTGCCATATACAGAAAAGATACTAAAAGGAAAAACAGTTCCTATATAATGCCAATGCCATTGGTGTTTGGCATCTTGGTGGTGCATTGTGAGCACCTCTTGAAGCGTGTGGTCAACATGAGGAAAAGGCGGTACGAAGCGTGGAAGGTAGCACGAAGTTCTTGAAGAGCTATGGCAGTGGTGGACAAAAAGGAACTAGGAAGCGACTGGCCAGGGTGCTCTTTTATGCCCTGAGATTACCGCTAAAATTTGAACCAAAGATGTATAGAAAAGTTTCTGTTAAGCCCGCACAGGTATGATCAAACACAATTGTGTGACTCACAGAGACAACTGAGGAAGAAATCCCAGTTCTTTTTTAGTGCTTAAAAACTGGCTATAACTTCTCCTTTTTATTATTGAATAATTTTATTTTATATTATTGAAATATACTGATAAATCCTTAATTTACACCTGTTATTCTAGTATTGTCAAAACGTTTGCTATATTCTTTCTGATAAAAATGTTGCCGCTTTACATTCTATCTGCATTGTATTTTTCAGAACAGAATATGCTTGAGCCAGTGCTGCATCATGGTCGAGTCCAGTGTCATGATGTTCCAGCTCTTCATCTCTAAATTTCTTTATTGTCTCTAACAATTCTCTGTACTTTTCTGGATCTTCTTCCATGAGTGACCTGATCCTTTTTATCGGTTTCTAAATGTCCTCCTATTCCCACAAATTAAGTAACCACATTCTGATGAGAAAGCAAAACCCCACACAAATATAACAAAAATGAAAGATTGGCAATCTGCAGGGATCTGCCAGTATTAACTTCTATATCTGTATTTAATCAAATAAATTATTTCAATGACATCTACCCCCCCCCCCACACACACACTTACACAGTATAGCTACAGTGATTATCTATGGAAACATTTCTATTATTGTTCAGTTCTTTAACTTCAAACAACAAGTTTTTTTTCCAGCATTGCTATTATGTATATTCAGTGCCATATGCCCTCTAAATCCCTTTTAAAGTCCTGAATTTTTTATACTGGAGCAAATGATGTGTAGTAAGCAAACTTTTCTTTAACTGAGAGTAGCTGTATTAAACAGATGGCCAGTCAACAACATTAAAGGTGCAGTCTGTTACCAAAAGAAGGAGAAATGTACCTATTAGAAGTGGACTTCTGTTTCAGAATTCAAAAAAAATAAAGGCCAAAAACAAGTATCTTTCTTTGTAGAGCAAGGTCTCAAAAGTGAACCGGCAGGCTGTAAATAGCACAGGGGGTCACCAAACTGAATTCTAATCACTGACACCCCATGGAGCTGGCACTTTTAATGCTATATAACTGCTTCTAATCACACTGTAGGCTGGGCCCTTGCTAACCTCCCCTTCCTCACACACACAACAGGTGCCATTAACATTTTCTCCACCTCCTGCTGTGCAAGATCACTCTCCCATCCCAAAGCAGACCATGAGTTCCTTTTGCAGACTTTCTTTTGAAATTTTCAACCTATTTAAGCCACTCTTTATAGAAATGTAAAGTAAACAGCTGATCCTATCCTAGGAGCGGCAGTGGAGCCTGTGGTCAAAGCACAGCCTCAGACCGAAAAGAAAAGATGCTTTAGAAATGTAAAGCAGGTCTGTGTCTGGCCAGCAGGTTAGTTCTCCCCACGCTTGATCAATTATTAACTTCCATTTTTTATTCAGAGACACAGTCAGACTCAGCTTAAAGCTGATTTACTACTGAAAAGTACAATGGAAATTCAGCTGAAGAAGAAAATAAAACCTACGACAGGGAACAAAACCACATAACTTTTTGCTATCATTTTAAATGCCACTTTTACATAAGACATTCAAATTGAGCATGTCTCTTTCCAAAACAACTGGTACATGATGTTTATCAACTCACAGGCTGAACCTTCATGGAAGAACCCTAAAGTAAAGGCAGCAGATGGCTTGAACAGACACTGATTCTGTGAAAGTTGGATCCAGAACAAAGGTTTAGAGCTCTCTACTCTAGAAGGGAGAAGTGGGAAGAGTAAGCATTATGAATGGTTTATTTCTCTAGACAATTACCCAAAGAATCAGAACAACTGCACAAGATAAATCTGAAGATAGGGCAGGATACAATCAGACTATCATCACCACTAATGCCTCCCTGAGGGTTATTTAGCTTTACTTCTCTTTTCTTCCAATTTCTCCAATTAAAATAGAATGAAAACCCCTTTTCTAGAAAGCAAAGATTCTCAAAAGAGAATAAGTAGTTTGATACACAATTCAAAGTTGTTGCATGGACAAATACTGCAGTAAATCACTCTGTATATTATTTCAAGTTGTTTCCAGAAAACGGCCTACTCCACATCCATGGTATAAATACATACTCCTGTCTGAAATAGAAATACATACTTGGCAGTTGAAAACTGTATTCAACAATAAAAGAACCCTTGTTAGTTCCTGTTACAATAGACAGGAAAGGTCTACATAATGACATCCCTATAAACCTATTATTAAACTGGAGCCAGTGACTACAACCCAAGTAAGTCAACAGTTAAAAACAAAGACATTATGTGTTTGCCAAGCTTCTAAAGAAATAGAACATTCAGCATTAATATTCACTGAGATAGCATGTTTTATTTATCTAACCTGGTGCCAGCAAAGTTTTGCTTTGAAAAGAAAATATTAGCTGTTTTTTAAGTTAGTGGGAAAATATAATGTTCAGCAGGATTTTTTTAAGGCCAAGATACAATAAAATAAAATCACATGCATCTGAGCATGCATAAACAGCAGTATTTTATCTAGAAAACCTGCTATTTCTTTGTGCTGAATTAAACATACTACACAGTTGTTTTGGCAAATCTACTTTTTCAGTGGCCACCAGATTAGTGAACAGATGCATTGCCTATCAAGTTGTCACTTGCTTCAAAGACAGCTCAGGCAGCTGCTTGAACAAGTGACCTTGCACAGGCTTTAAAGTTGTAACTACATCAGAGTGGCTAATCAAAAAATGTATTTTAAAATAACCAAAAAAAATGACAATTTTGGCAGTTAATCAGATTTATACAGAACTCTGGGCCTCCTATAAGGCAGGTGCACAAGGCAAAACTTGCCCAGAGGGAGGAAAATGTGCCAATTCTCATGCTAGAACTTTGGAACAGGGTCAAAACTGGAAGTGCACAGAAGTTATATATGATTCAAACTCAGAGACCATGCAGAATAATCACAGTAGTAAAATGGATTTAAATTTATATTTATGTTAAAAAGACAACATTCTGGCTGTAGAGAACAGGTTAAAAGCTATGAAAATATGAGAAAATTAAAGTCTTTATATATTTGACTTAGAAAGCAACTTTTTGGGTGTGGGGGATTGGATCTATTTCAGTTAATGTCATCTTACAATGTCAACAAGTTGCTTGAATCAGTTTGTTCCACCACATGTAAGATTCCCCCCCCCCCCCATTTTAGCTGTCAAGTAGAGTGGGATTGATGATGCTTATTATTATTATTACCCCACTTTATCTCCCGAAATATGACTCAAAGAGTACGTTCAGGGGATAATTCTCAAGGAAAGTACATGCTATCTTGAAAGAACTTACGGTATTTTTTTCCTAAAGTGGATCCCCTTGGACCTAAAGCTCTGAAAGAACTACCCTCCTACTGCTAATACCTTCTGTTTGGATGAGATGCTTCAGCATGTGGTGGCTGGAGACCATCAGACAGAAGAATCTCGTTATCTGGACTAATTTCGGTTTGGTTTCAGGAATGAAGGAAAGACATGAGGAATACTATCCTACTGATCTTCCTAGATCTTTTGGCAGATCTTGATGCCAATAAAGAAGGTATTTTGTCAGACTAAGTCTGAGAGCTAGGAGTAGGAAGCAATCTGTTAACAGTATGCACAATATTGGTTTGAGACACTGGTATTGGGAAATTTCTGTTCAGTTCCATAGCTATCAAGGTGTGTGGTGCCAAAGGATTTCATCTTATCCCTCCCACCCCATGGCATGTAAGTATTCCACCATATCTCCCATGGGTGGGGTTATCAGATCTATGGTGATGGCACCCAGCTCTACCTTTCCTGGGCATCATAGTTGGGAGTGTTGCAGATGATGGACCAGTGCCTGGATACTGTAGACAGCTGACTGAGAGGCAGTGAAGTGAAGCTGAATTCTGACAATAAAAAGATTCTGCTTACTGGTGATTCCTGTATCCAGCAATTGGGAAACAGTCTATACTTGATGGACTTGCTGAGTGTTTGGGGCAGCTTCTATTTGTCCACCTGCTACAGCCCTTTTTGGATAAAGATAATGCAGACACAGTATGGAGTTCACACATTCCTAACTTGCATATTAAACTACTATAATGTATTCTATGTTGGGTCCCTGATGGTGATTTGCAAGCTCCAACTCATGCAAATCCTGGCAGTCGAATTGCTCACCCAGGCATCACGTAGACAGCATTTAACATTGGTCTTAAAGGGATTGTTGCCAATAGAAAATGGAAGACAATGTTCTCAACTGGGACACAATGCCTTGACTGGGGTGACCTGATGCAATCTTTTCAACATGTTTTTTTTTAAATTGCCAAACTATTCAATATGTTTAATCTATTTAAATAATTTAAAATGTTTTAATTTTATGTGTATATCGCCCTGCTATGATATGGAAAGAGGACATAATTAATTACTGTTGTGCTTTCCATTCAACACAACATAGCATTTTATGTTTATTTACATATCAAAATGCTAGATCATCTTCTTAACCTACATTTTAACATGAAACACATAGCCATAATACAACCAAGCTGTGATGTTCCTTGGGTGGAAGGGGGTTGGTTGTACTGCAAGAACATCTTTTCTGATAAAAGGTCTGAATGAATCCAACTGAACATAAAGAAGACAGAAGTAGTACAGTGACACATGGACTTAAGGAAGCCTCTATGTATAGTGAAAGCATACCTAAATAGAGAGAAAAGGAATGAAAACAAGTCAGATGGGGCTGGAAATAGAAAGAAAAGAAATTGAAGGGACAGGGAAGCCAAGTTTAAGCATGTGTAGAAAGTGACCGTTTACAGAAAAGAAACAAAAACAGAAAAAGTATAAAATGGAACGAAGAAATGACTAAATGTGCTTTAAAATTAAGGGATACGCACATTCATTTTGTGAATGAATAATATATGAAATAAGAAAAAATTATTCCCCTGTTTTTTCCTGTTTGTATTCCAAACCTAAATGATGTTGTTAATATAGAATGTCCCTCTTGACCAAATATGTATTTGACTTGCTTTTAAATATAAATATACAGAATAATAAAATTCTACAGCATTCATCAATTTTACACAAAAAATTGATCACAAGGTATGTTCTAACAAACCATGTTTCAGATATTTGTAGGCCAGTGTCTACACAAATATCTTATATGCTCCATGGAGCAAATTAGTATGTACACTTAAATCCAGCTGCAGCTCCAACTAGAGATGGATCAATAACGGGATCTACTTAAATTGAGACTAGTCAATCACTATATATATTTGTAGTCATTAAGGTTAAAAAACATAGTGACCAGAAAAAAGAAAGGAAAAACAAAATGTTAAGCGTGCTGAATTCCATGCTCACTGCCAACATCCATGCTTGCATAGCACTGCAAAGGCACAAAAGCACTGACTCTGTCCCAAAACTATGAACATCTCTACTTTAACTCTTGCAAACAGATTGCAATCTATACTCACTTGACTGGGAGCACCTTCAACAGGGCTTACTTCTTAGTTGACATAGAAAGGATTGCACTCTTAAAATAATAGATAGCAAAATTTGTCCAGTGATTCATTCATCACCGAAGTCTTTCCCATGCCATAATATTGTGTGCACTGAATTGGAAGAATTGTATTATCTTTCTAGTTTAATGCTGCCAAATGAACAATAAAGGGAGGACAAAATTAAAGTTTAATTACTTAAAAACACAACCACAATTTGGATTCACTTCTTTGACCAACAATGTATGCACTATTTTATACAGAACATCTCAGCAACACTTTTCTTTAACTTCATGAAAATAGATAAAAGACTTGTTTGCTGTGTTTTTTCTGACATTTATGGAAGATGTTTGTGAAACTGCACAAACAAGAGGGAAAACATATGTAAACAAGCAAAAACAATTATGAGTGGTTTTAATTCACATCAACAGGACAGAAAAAAATCTGATTTAAGCACAATGAGCATACTGCTGAGTAGAAGCCAGCCAGGATTAGCGATTCAAATTGGCCCTCACCTTTGTCACGGTCATACAGCATGTCTTCTGTGGAAAAAGGACTCCCATCCTGAGATTCAGGAGGACAAAAGGGAGAGATGCAAGGGGAATGACTACTACAGCTGCTGCTGCGCTCCTGGACAGAAGGTGTTTGCGTATCAATGCTGCGTGTGCTGCTACTACGATAGTGAGCAGGTAACGGTGCTCTTCGGCCATCAGGAATATCCAAGGGCTGCAAACAAAAGCAACATTATTAAAATGCACAGTTACAATTTGGTCTCCTGCAGTGAAGTCTGAGACCTGGAGGGCACTCTGACCTGTACTAATTTTTTTCAAACCAGACATGACTTTGTGAGAGGGAGGGAAGTCAACTTCCTACAAAAGGAGGCAAATGACACAATGCCATGCTGTTCTTCAACTCATTTAGTTCAACGGACGGCATGAAAATTTCAGTCACTCAAATGTGCAGCTATATCCTTAAACAAATGTTGGGGCTGGATGCACTTTGACAGTTAGCTCTCATGCTGAGATTTATCCGTACTAAACAAATGATTTTTTAAAAAGAAAAGGATATAACAGTATGAAAGGAAAACAAAACCAAGGCATTTAATTAAAGAAGACACAAAAAGTAACACAGTTTTAAATGACTACTTTTATCACTATGAGACACAATCCAAAGCTTCTCTTTTGCAAAAAAAACCCAAACATATTGCTCCTTTCAGCAACAATTCCCTGATATCTTGCCCTAAAGGTTAGGAAAGTAAGGTTGCTTACCTGTAACCATGTTTCTTCTAGTGGTAACTGTGAAATTCACACCTGTGGTATTTCCCTGCGTCCACGCAGCTGACTCGGATCTTTCTTGAAAGCTTTTCCTAATTAGGGACTCCAGCCCCGCCCATCTACTCCTAATAAAGCCAGGCAGCGGGGCTTGGAGCCTTAATTCCGTACCGCGAAAGACAGTCGGAGATAAAAGGCATGACAGAATGTGGGGAGGATGGGCGGGTTGTGTGAATTTCACAGTTAACCACTAGAAGAAACATGGTTACAGGTAAGCAACCTTACTTTCTTCTGCATGGTACTGTGAAATCCACACCTGTGGTAGACTAGCGAGCAGTCCCACGGATGGTGGGTGTCATGCTAGTGCAGAAAAAAGTACTGCTCTCCCAAAAGCCGTCTCCTTCTTGGCAGCTAAATCCAATTTATAATGGGAGACAAAAGTATGCGGTGTTGACCATATGGCCACCCGACAGATATCATGCAGAGGCACACTGTGCAAAAAAGCCATGGAGGCTGCCAATGCTCTAGTGGAATGAGCATGGATCTGAACAGGTAAGTCCAGTCCTGCCATTTCACAAGCTAGCCGGATAGCTGCAACTATCCAGGCCGCCACCTCTGGGTAGAAACAGGAAGGCCCACAGTATCCCTACGGTACTTAACAAAAAGTCGTAGTGACTTCCGTAATGGAGCTGTGCGGTGGACATAAAAAGCAAGAGCCCTCCGCACATCAAGAAGGTGCAAAGACTGCTCCAGGGGAGTAGAAGGATTTGGAAATAAGGTTGGAAGGACAATGTCCTGAGACATATGAAACTATGATGCTGCCTTAGGTAAGAAGGAAATGTCTGTGCCCAGCATGACATCCTTATGAAATTTCAGGTAAGGACTATCGACTCAAGAGCCATAAGCTCGCTAGCGCGACAAGCAAAAGTAATAGGCACTAAAAATGCCGTTTTCCATGATAGATGGAACATGTCAGAAGTGGCCATTGGCTCAAATGGTGGTTTCGTAAGGGCGAAAAGAACAACCTCCAACCTCCAAGAGGGGGGACAGGCCTACTTGGGGCCAGAAATTTCTAAAGCCTTGCAGAAATCTCTTTACAAGAGGATCGGATAAAGGAGAGGGAAGAGAATGCTCGCTTCTAAACGAATCTATATTTGCCAGATTGACCTTCAAGAATAATAATGAGAGTCCTGAATCTGACAGAGAAATCAAAAAATCCAGGAGGAGGGAAGTGGAAGCAGACAGAGGCTGAACCCCTTGCTTTTGTGAAAAAATGCAAAAATGACACCACTTACAAATGTAACAATGTTTAGTGGCAGGTCTCAGGGCAAGGTCCAAAATGCCCTTTACTGGTTGAGAGAGGGCTGAGGCTGGAGCTGCCACGCCGTCAACCGGAACTGAGTGACCTGGGAGTACGGGACTGGGCTGTTGCCCATAGCCAGCAAGTCTGGTCTGAGTGGCAACTGAATGTAACAGCTGCCTGCAAGTTGGAGCAGAATGACAAACCATGGCTGGCGGGGCCACCATGGTGTGATGAGAATGCAATCTACCTGCTCTGCTTGAAGACGAGAGACCACGCTGGACAGCACTGGCAATAGTGGAAAGATGTACAGGAGGGTGGATGTCCAATCCAGGAGGAAGGCATCTCCCAACAGCCTGTCTGGTGGAGGTAAGACGTGCTCCAAAGAATTGGCACTTCATGTTGGCGGGAGAGGCAAACAAGTCCAGAAGGGGAGTTTGCCATCTGACAAAGAGTTCCCATGCCTGGGAAGGATGAAGGGACCATTAGTGGTCAGTATAAACTGTCTGACTGAGGGAGCCAGCAAAAGAGTTCTTGATGAATGGCACTGATGGTTATGGTATACCAGTCTCAGATTCTGATGATGAGGGCAAGCAAATCACAATCGTGGTGGTGGTGGTAAGCTGGACAATACTGTCCATGAGCAAATGACAGATAAGGTGCAGTGCCATTTCTACTGCGAGTAACTCCAAATAGTTGATGTGCTCTATGCCCTCTATGGCCGCCCAAGGACCATGGATGGTGTGACCCTTGAGGTGAGCTCACCACACTGAGAGGGAAGTGTCTGTTGCTAACATCGCCCACACAGAGATTGGAGCGATGAGTCCACTAGTTGAGAGACCTGTGGATGGCTAAAGGGACAATGAGACATTCATTGGGCTCATCCTGCATGGGATGAAGTGCCCGAAGAAACCAATTCTGGAGAGGCCGAAGGTGCAAACAGGAGAAAGGAGTGGCAGCTGTGGTGAATGCCATGTGTCCCAAAAAGCACTGGACATCCCTGGCATGGATGTATGGCGTCTGCCAGACTCAAAGAGCTAATGAATGCAGATTCAGAAACCTGTCTGCTAGCAAGTAGGCCCTTGCATGCCAAGAGTCCAATACAGGCCCAATGAATTGGTTGTTTGGATAGGCTGAAGAAGAGATTTTACCTTGTTGATAAAAAGACCAAGCGTCTGCTATAAAGACAGAGTAAAGTGAATGTTCCTCTGTAGATACTCACAGGACTGTGCACCAACAACCAGCCATCAATAGAGGGGTAAACTACTACCCCGTTTTGTCCTCCCACTAGCAAGAAACACAAAGGGGGTGGGAGTTACTCTGGAGCAACTTCCCCCCATAAGCCATACATTTCAAAGAAAATGCCATGCTGGCCTGAATAGGATAAACAAAGGTCCCAGAACACAAGTTGGAATTGCTGTCTGTTAGAGTAGTCAAACTGGAGTCCTTGAGTCAAACCAATAGTTGTTTTAGGAGAGAACACCGAGTTGTTGCTGCTTTCGCGGACAAAAGGAATTAAGGCTCCAAGCCCCGCTGCCTGGCTTTATTAGGAGTAGATGGGCGGGGCTGGAGTCCCTAATTAGGAAAAGCTTTCAAGAAAGATCCGAGTCAGCTGCGTGGACGCAGGGAAATACCACAGGTGTGGATTTCACAGTACCACGCAGAAGAAACAGTAATAGAAGGGATTGCCTCAGCATATATTACTTTTGCTCTTCCTTAGCTAATTCGTTTTGTTAAGATTTATGATTGTTTCATACTAATGTCCAAAAAGTGTCCAGAAAACTTTATATGATTTTTCTGTATGATTTTTCAAAATAGCTGCTCTATATGATTTTTCAAAATGGGTTTCTACAATACAGGTATAGAAGTTATAGTATAGTATTTCTACAATGTCAAATACAAGCAAAATTTCATGAACCATTTCACATCTCAATTCATCTAAAAGCTGTCAAAACTGACAAAGCCTTTAAAACACATGAATATAGATTAAATTCTGGGTCGCAAAGTTGGAGGTATCATACTATGAAAATGTAGGCCATTATGGGAAGACTCAGAAATAGCAATGCAGAAAAATACTGAGTCGACCAACTGAAGAGAAAGTCTACAATGGATGAAACAATATCTTCCTCCTGAAAAAGTTCTGGAAAAGTTAGTGTGTACAAAATAAGTGGTTCACATTCCTGAAAGATTAAAAAGCACCTACTAATCCTAGAGTCCTCAAAATATTGTTCTTGCAATGAAGAATAATATTTTCTCCTTCATTTATATTCAGGGCTTTCAATGCACAAGGGCATTTTTAGAAAATCTGGACATAAATAATGCTGCAATTCTACTTCGGACGTTTCCTTCAAAACGTTTAAATGGAATCAATGAATATATAAAAATAGCTTTTCTTTACTGTAAGATAAATATGTATTTCAAGATTATTTTCCATTTGCTTTGTTTACTGCATAATCTTATAAAACCATGGCACTGGCAGCAGGTTTTTAATCCACAGCAAGAATTCTGCACTCTTCATAAGGACACCCTCCCCCAAATTACTTTTTTTTTCTATTGTGGCCATCATAGAGTTTATCTGGTTCTAATGATTCAAAAATATTCAAATTAAGAGTCTATCAGGAATCATTCTTTGGGTAGGATGGGGCAGAGCTGGATCATGACAACTCTCAACTTTTTTAAGTATCCTTCATACCAATGACAGATTCAAACTATTTTCTGGTGCTGTTGGGCTGATGGATGTGCAATGAATGTGACGATTACAGGAATGGAAATATGGACGACGAATTTGGATCACGACTCTAGTTATGAGATGCATTGTGTTGTTATTGTTGTGTTAATATTGTATATTCTGCTCTAATGGTTTTAAATTGTATATCGTTGATTGATCTTATCCTTGTTGTAAACCGCTTTGAGTCGCCTGTTAGGCTGAGAAACTGCGGTATACAAGTAAATAAATAAATAAATAAATAAATAAATAAATGGAGAATACTAAAGAAAACATAGTGTTTCTCATTCAGCAGAGATCCATGTAAAATTACATTATACAGCACAGTAATTGACACGAAATATAAGATGGCATAGTATAGCTGAAGATAGACAAGTCATGTCCTGATAACAGCCTTTGTTCAACAGGAAAAAACCACAACTATTTACATATGGAACAGGAAAATAATTGTTAACATATATGAAAGACTTCTTCAAAATACTTTAAAAGATTTAGGAACAATTATCACAAATTCAAAGGCAATTTTTCCAGTATTTTTCACTCCTGTAATTAGAGTTGTTAAGTATTACTAACACTGGATTTATTCTCCATCAGTCAGTTTGGACTTATCCAATAGTATTAGTTCTTGAGATAAAAAAAAAAGCATTAGATCTGGTTGTGTCTTTTGAGGTGGGAATGTCTTATTTCATTGTGAAAGTTCTGGCAACAATCCAGCAAACCACTTAAAACTGAGGAGCCCTAATGAAGTCACCACAGTTCCTCCTCATGTGATTTTGGATCAGACTGCCATTTAGTATGGCAGAAAAGTAAACCTCCAGCAATACTTTTTGAGAAAAAGAGCATAAATCTTACATGGCTATTTGTTTCATTACTAAATTAGCATTGTTAATGTTTGCAGCTATAATAACCAGATTAACACTAGTGCTCAATGTGTATTCTATCCCACATTTCTCCTTACATGGGGCACCAGGCAACTAAAACATTACTCACATCTTGCATCACTAAAATTCCAATCACTTTAACTGTGTTTTAAATTTTCAGTGTTAAATTTTGATACTGAAATGAAGCTTTCTACAATGTCCTGATTGTCTTACCATCACCATCAGTTAAATAAAGCAATATGTACTGACTTTCTGCCATCTCACACTACCATTTCCTTGAAGAAAACACAAGTAAACTTATTACCTAATATGTACAAGTGTTAGAAAAAATATGAATGTTCTTAGTTAGCATAGCTATTCTAATGTGGAATATATATGTTACAAAATATCTTCAAAATATGTAGAATGGGCAGGTTACATACCTCTGTGTTTTTGGTTTGTTTTTTTTTTAGTGAACCTCTGTGCAGTCACATATGTGAGTTTACTGAGTTTGCACAGGCTCCAACAGAGTTTTCCAGGCTCTAGCTTTTGAATTTTGGCAATAACACCGCCCACTCCTCTGGACTTTTAGGAGGTATGAAGGAAAAGAAAGCAGGGTAGCTGGAGATGCTTGACTCTGGACTTTTTTGAAGACCAGGTCGTCCACCACCTTTGATTATTGCTTTACCTCCAAGGGTTTCTGCTACTTGGACCATCTGATTTGTGAATGCCTGAATATTATCCATGGGAGATGGTGGGTCTACCAAGGCTACTTGTCGGGGAGAAGTCAATGCCAAGGGACAGGACAGATCCCGAGGATCTGAGTCACAGTGATAGATTATTGGAGTCACAGTGCAGCCCAACACGGGCTGCAGTCACTGGCCAATGAGCTGTAGCCTCATGTTGCACCTTGGGAGGGGGGAAGGTCTTGACATAGCAAGTCCAAGCACCACAGTTGGAGAAGGTGAGATTGGTGCGTGCTGCTTGGCCGCTGAATCCACAGAAGTGTGAGATACTCTTGCAGGGTGGGCTGTTTGCCATACTTCGAAGAGGTGGTCTTCATTTAAGCAGGGAAAAGTTGATGGCAGGAGCTTTGTGGAGGGCCATGTACCATCACTGGTACTTGGATGCCCATGCATACCGATTGAGGGGGTGACTAGGTTTTGTACTTCGCCTTCCAAGAGTGGTTTCTGTGGGGTCGGAGAAGGCTGTTGTTACAGTAAGACCAGCGAAGAGCAGTGTGTGGATGCTGCTGAGGAGGGCATCTTGTTTCTGCTCTTAAAAGTGGATGGGGGTTGAATATTCCTTTTTTCCCTCTTTTTTCTGAGGGCCACTTCAAACTATTTATCTGGTGGTGGGGGAATCAAAGGAAGGTTTTCTTGTGATGCTTGAAATGCAGCTCATTTCCATTCTTCAAGTGAGCACTTTAAGGCGATCCTCATGAATGAGGAGGAAGGAACTGTTGTGATTGAGGCTGAGGTCAATGGAACTACTGATGGCATTGGCTGATTTGATGTACCTGATTTTGAGTTCAATTTTTTAAAGTATTTGAGGCCTTAGAAGAGGCTACCAATGTAGCTGAAGTGGAGGGAGCCAGGGTTTACTGGTAGAGGATCGCCCAAAGCTTTGATTCTCTGTTTCTCCTGGCTTGAACTGTGAATACCTGGCAGTACTGACAGAAGCCAACTACATGGCTCTCCAACAAGCACTGGAGGCGTTTATAGTGTCTGTCTGAGTCCTGCATTTTCACGGTGCATTGGCCACATCTCTTGAAGCAAGTAGTCAACATGATGTGTCTGCAATACAGCTGGCTTTTTGATTGAGCTGCTGCAGCAGTGGATGAAAAGGAACTGGGGAGCCGTTGGTGTGTGGCATATTTATGCCCCCAGAGGAGTGGATGGGGTTACCGCCAAAACTTGAAAGCTGGAGCTTAGAAAACCTTTCCGTTGGAGCCTGTGCAAGCACAGTAAACCACATATGTGATTCAGAGACCACGAAGAAGATAGATATATTATCTATATGTATTAAATGATCTCATTTCAAAAAATTTAGAAAAAATTATACCATATCTAATTTCCATGTATATATCATGCCCATTAAAATAAAACTCTTAGCATCTGTCTTACCTTGGACACATCTTCTTTTCCACTGTTTTCTTTTATGAACACTTTCTCTAATTCAGGGCTTATGCCTTCTACATTGCATGGCACACGTGAAACAGTTGATTTTGGCACTGAAATATTTGACAGTGGCATAGGGACTGATCTTGAGAGAGAAGCCTTTAGAGCAAATAAGAGATATGTCAGATTCACTTAAAACCTACGAGAAGAAAGGCTGATTTCTGAACTTAGCCTTAAAGTACAGAAATGGTAAAACAAAGGGACATGCATTGATTTCTTAATCCCGAAGCCCATCAGTGGCTGCAGATTTCCAATGAAAATGGGTCCATTAACTCACTATGCTACTCTTTTAGTGACTTACATAGTAGCATGCAACACAAAAAGAACTGACTCTGATATAAACCAAATGCATTATATAAACTGAGCAAGCATATTAAGAGGAACATCAGTGACCTATCACAAAGTTATTCTAACATGGGAGAACATAGTATTTCAGAAGGGTGTGAAATGATGAACTATAGAAAGCAACTGATCAATCTTTATTATTTGTTTTAACTATTATTTATCAGCTGAACTTAAGATGAGCACCTTTTTTCTAATCCCAACTACACTGGGCAAAAATTTAGCAATTGCTGTTTTTGTGTTCTATATCAACCTTATGTCATATCTGTATACTAAGAAGAAAATCACACCAAATATAATGAGCTTACTCCTGCTTTAGGCTGTAAGAATTTAGTCTTAAGCGTGCTTTCTTAGTAAGCATATTAGATGACCAAGATACTTGCACAATACAATCAAGACACAAGCAAAACCAAATGACTATTTTATTAGTACAAGATCCTATTCTAGCAAACTCCCCCAAACAAAGATAGACTACAAATAACATAATGTGCACTATCCATGGAAGCTAGGATTACCGAAAGCTCAGATTGCGAGGAGGCAATCATTGGGTATGAATCCCTTGTCAAATCTATCTCTTCGAAACTATATGACTGGCAAAGAACTCTGAAGCAACCTACCGCCAAACCAAAAAACTGGTTCGACAAAGAGTGCATAATGATAAATAAACAGATTCGCTCACTTTACAATGGCTATCGCACCACTTCAAACACCCTCCTTCTTATAACAATTAGAGAGTCTAAGCAACAGCTCCAGCTCCTTATGGGCCAAAAACATAATGTGCACTATGATATAAACTATTGTTTATATTACAGTATTGGATTAAAAAATTTGAACAATAAATATTTTTTAAAAAACAGCACTCCACAAAGCTGGAACTGTATAGGAGCATATTTGACCAAATAGTTTTTGAGAAAAAAATTGAAAACGCTGTACACTAATACATGATCACCACTTCTGGGTACAGGAGGTTGAGCTGCTGCAGTTCTTCACAGAAGAAGAGGAGGAGCTCCCAAGAACAGCATTAACCACTTGAGGCAATGAAGTCATTGGGCTGTCTCGAATCTTATCAAACATTACAAAAGATTATCTGTTGTAAGCCACTTTTGCACAGCGAATTAAAAGGAAAAACTATGAGTTTTGCGAGATTTTATTTAGACTTAGACCTCTGCACATTTCTTAATACATAGATAAGAAAATAAAAAAATTAGCTTTGTTTACCATTATAAAAGATTAATAAATTAATAATAATAATAATAATAATAATAATAATAATAATAATAATAAAAGCACAGCTCTATAGGGCTCCATATTATCTACCACATTATTTGTTGGCAACATTATACTATATTCAATGTAAAACATGATTGCAGATTAATGTAAAACAAGGAATAATGAGAGTAAGTGATAAGACAAATTAAATATATTACTGTTCTTTTGCTGTTCCAACAGTTACACACTTTAGTAATAAATTATCAGACACATACATTTTCAACAGTACTAAAAGAGATTTCTAGGCAAGTGGCCATAATTCAATAATGGCGTCAAGCTGTCCACTGGAAAAAATAGACAACGTTCTTAAGTCTATTGGACAATGCTATAACCAAATATCTGCTGAAGATTTTTTTAAATCATGGTGTATTTCTTCATCTTTTCCTAGGACTAAACATTGCTCAATTATAATGGAATAAAATTCTTTTCACATCTTTTCAAAATACAGGTTTAATACAATTTTAGAATGTACATAGGAATTCAGAACAAAAAGGATATATTGCCTTATTCAATCCTATTGAGCTATCTGAACAAACCCAATGGTCTACTTACCTGTGTCTGATTGATTGCTATATGGTTGCCATGGAGAGGTGACTGACGTTCTTTTTCTTTATTGTGACGACTTTGTTTACTGCGCTGGAGCTGCTGCCTCAGTTTGGCAATCTGATGGGAAGAAGCAACAAAATCAAGTAACAAAAGGCATGGAATACACAGTGCTCAAATCTTCATTTTGGGAAGGGAGAGAGATACCAGTCTTAACAAATGTTAATTGCAAAAATGCAATACAGTACTACACTCCAGACATAAAGGTAGCTTGTGACTTTAGTGCATAAAATTTAGTCATTCTTTGCTGTTCGTTCTTCTTGACTGTTAACATGAACAATGTAGGTTTAAACTGAAAGTGAATGGAGCAGTTTTATGACACTTTAGACAAGATGAAGTAGTACATTTGAGAATCACAGCCATAAAAGCTGTAATTCACGTGGAAGGAAAATACATTAATTCTGAATTGTCTCCAGAATTCTGAACATATCTCATCTTTGAAGATAAAAAAGTGTATTGTATTTGTACTACAATATTAACCTGCTGCAGAGAATGTAGTCCTAAACAGTACTGCTTACTGTTTTCCAAGGAAAGACTTAAGTAGCTCTACATGATTGATCAGAGTTGAAATCTTTTCATAATAAACACTAGCCTTTTGTTAATTTGTGTTTGTAAATTGAAATAGCTCAAGAAAGGTGATCCTAAAGAAAACAACCAGCCAGTAATACTAGCTAACCAGAACGAATCATCCATGCCTTGGCTCTATAGACTTTGGAGCACCTGAAAAGGAGCCATTCCAAAAATAAAAATAAAACGATATGAATTTACTTGCCCTATATAGGGTACAATTCAGAAATTTCTTTCATTTTGCTTCTGTGAGTTGTAATCAACAACACAGATTTTTTTCTAACCCTGTAAAAGCTTTACCCTTGTATCCAAAGCCACTCAGTACTTTCAGTAAATGCTATCATTTTCTTAACTTATTTGGTTTATTTATTGTTATGTACTTTCAAATAGGCTCCAATTTATTGTGAACTTACCACAAGGGTTACTGAACAAAAAATTTTCAGAAGAGGTTTGCCACTGCCTTCTTCTAACACTGAGAGAGAGAGACTTGCCCATAGCTACCTAGTGAATTTCCATGGCTGAGTGGATATTCAAGCCCTGGCCTCCCCAAGTCCTAGTTCAACACTACATTACACTGGCTTACTCCTCCTGATTCTTAATACTTTACAGAATAACTTAAATATGACATATCCCATTCCTGCAACAATGACTGAGCATGCAAGTAAAACAGGAACAGTCCCTTAAAAATAAAATGGCTTTTATTTCCTGGCCCAAATTCATTAACTATATTTCATGGTAGTTATAGTCAGATAAAGACCACAAGAATGTGTGAGCCAGAATTATGTTGTATTTCAATCATCTCTTCAGATATCTCGGAGGTTCACATGATTTCTCAGACTGATTAATTTCTTATCACATATTAAACTGTGGACCTTACAGAGTTCACATGCCAATCTTCCCACAGAGATCCACTTTGACTCCCCAATGCTTGCTATTCATCTACACACAGAGAGAAAGCTTAATTTGAAACAGGGAGCAAAAAGCATGGATGTACTCCCATGAAAAGATACAAAATACATGAACAACATTTTACGGTAAGAGTGAAGTCTGAGGGCTTCCAACTTGCCACAGGGTTAAGCACTTACTTCTTTTAGTTGATCAGCACTGCCCCATGAAGCTGAACGCTGATGAGATCTCTTTTCTAATACCTCTTCGGCCCAACAGCTAGGTGTCTAAATGAACAAAAACCAACAAATATGATTTGGTGACTTGCCTCTGTTTTAGACTTATAACTCCAGAAGAAATACCATTTACCATTTGTATTTTGAGTACTGAAGGCATTTTGCACACATATATTCTTAGAACAAACAGTATTATTTTTACTCCAATTATTGCAAATAAAAACTGAAACAAAGCAAAAATCAGATTGGCTTGCCCTAAGCTGTGGGTTTGTAGGGAACAGGGCAAAAATTGAACTAGAAGACATCATGATTCATAGCTCAGTTCTAACCCCTACTAATCTCTACCAAAAGCGCAAAATGGAGTATGTTCTCAATACTTTGCTATTCACATTTTCATTGTTATTATATGCACTTACATATTTTAAAAGTATCTACTCTATTAGTAATTCATGATCAGCAATAGCATAGCCAATGTAATATAGTAATTCTAAGCTACACTCCCACTTTTTATGCTACATCTGTTATACTGAAAATGTGGCTTAGGCCACATGAATAAAAGCAGATGTGAAAAGTTTCAAAACAAAGGGGACATTTATTTAAAAGTGTGGAAGTGAAATGTTCAATGTAAATTCAAAACACAGATTCTCTGAAAATAAATCATTTTCACAAAATATTTAGCTGAAGAAAAGAAAAAGATATACTACAGCATCCTAAAAGTTAACCTATGAATAACATAAAAGCTAAATCTGTTTTGCATCACAAGCTTCAGAACACCAGTGGTGAGCATTCTTATTTATACTACTTTTTCTTATCTAAGCTTATTTAACTCAACTAATATAAAATAGTTCCTTAGAACTCTATAGTTTTCAAGCTGGAATTCAGCTGAGCTATTGTCAAGTAAAACTTTATGTGAACATTTGCTATAAAGCTGTTAGTGATTTCTTTCAAAGAAATTCTATGAATTATTAGTTCTTTAGGGTGTTGATAATTCTCTAAAAAATTCCTAATTATCTTCAAAGAACCATAATACTAAGGTTCCTGAGCAAAGATCAATCCACTTTGAGTGCAGTTTAGTGTCAACAGAAATTCAGAAAATGTTGAGAATCCACTTCAATCACCAACGGTAATAAATGCACCTTGGTAGTTCATATTGATCTCAATGCTAGTCCTTTCCATTCTTCATCAGACTGGCACACAAAGCTGTCTTGTGCCAGATAGCTGATAATTCTGCTTTTAAATTATTGGCAGACTAGGGCCAATTTTGACCCATAGGGACCACCCATATGCTGCGCCAATGCCCCAAAATGTGCTTTTAAATGTTTGTTTTCCAGAATCAAAAGCACCTGGAAGTTCATTTCCAGTTTGGGGTGAAAGAACAGAAAAGGCCTTCCACACTAAAGTAAGCCCTGGTGATTTGCTTGGAATTGTAATTTTTTTGAACAGAATTTCCCACAGCAGTAGAAATTCAGGAGCAGCATACCTTATCTAGAATTCCAAAATCCAAAATACATCAAAATCCCAAACTGCCCACATGGGTGGCTGTGATAGTGACACTTTTGCTTTCTGATTATTCAATATATGCAAGCTTTGTTTTATGTACAAAATTATTTAAAATGTTGTTGAAATTATCTTCATGCTACAGACATAAATTGTTTATGAATCATAAATGAATTTCATTTAGGCCCCATCACTAACACATGCCATTATATACGTATATGGAAATCCTCTCCCCCAGCCCAAAACATTTCTGGTACCAAGGATTTTGGATAAAAGATACTCAACCTGTACACTTTATAATAATTATAGTAATTATATACATTATTTGTATTCAGCTCCATCTTATTATTATTATTATTTGAACTTATATGCCGCCACTCCCCTGGGGCTCGGAGCGGCTTACAAGAATAGCTAAAATCTAACAAAATTTAAAAGCAATTTAAAACAAGGGACTCAGGGAAAAATTACAGAACACATATATGTCAAACATTCAATGCCATTATACAATTATTAATGACAGACATTATATAAACAGAGGTAAAGGCCTCCCCCACTTTTTTCCATTTCCAGCATCTCCGGCCATTGGGGGGGGGGGGGTGCTGTCGCTCCATCTTCCATGTCAAGGAGCTTTGTCATGCTTAGATGTTCTCCCAATGAAATTGCTCAAATCACCGGCATGTCCTTATGGGCCTTTAATTACATCCCCGCTTAAAGCAGAATCTATTTATCTATTCACATTTCTGTTTTCGATCTGCTAGGTGGGCAGGGAGCTCAGGCTGACGGCGGGTGCTCATCTTGATGTGGACTTCAACTGCCAACCTTTCTTTTTTTTTTAATTGAATTTTATTATTACAATAGTAAAAAGAAGGGACATGACAATAACAACAGACATTGACCTACATAAACACCCCCAGTGGACATCCCCAACTTACATCGACAGATATAACATAGCACACCAACTACAAATATTTAAAAAACAGAGGAAAAAGAGCCCGCATTGGCAGCAGACCTCCCCTCTCCCTACTGCGGTATTTCAGTGTCGATTTCCGTACTTCTATACTTCCAAGATGTTTATTTTCATTCTTCTTCCTGTAGTACCTTATCTTATAAATCTACAATTTTCCGCTAAATAGTACATTTCTATTTGCTCATACATACAAAGGTGAGTCTTTATATCTTTATATCTTCAATTATCTGTACATCATATACTCTAACTTTTCCACTCCATTGGACAGTCTACTTCTTACATTCCTACACGTTCTTCCAATTATTTTTGCTGATCCTATTATCCTTCCTAAGCCATCCTACATAACTTAGCCTTCCACCTAGATACTATTCCTTAACTTCTTATGTTGTGGTATTAATCTATTAACATCTTTATCTTCCTTTCCCTGAGCCATTCTATAACCGGGGTCCAATTTGTTGCAGTTACAGGCATATTGCGTGAAGCTGACAGGATATATGTTAAGTGGTCCATATTCCTTATATCTATTATTTTCTCTATCCACTCTTCCTCCGAAGGTATTGTCTTCTGTCTCCAAACCTTGGCCAGTAGTAAACGGGCTGCTGTTATTAAATACACAAACAGTTTGTCCGTCTCTTTGTCCCACAACCCATCCGTTAAGCCTAATAAAAAGCATTCCGGTTTTAAGGGGACGTTTTTCTTTACTATTTTTTGACATCTCACTTGAATTAATTTCCAGAACGGTCTTACCATCTTGCAGGACCACCACATGTGTCGGAAGGCCCCCTCCTCTTCCCCGCATTTCCAACATTTATTACACATGTGTTTGGAAAATTTTGCTATTTTGGTTGGTGTTAGATACCACTGATGAGTCATTTTTACCCAATGTTCTTTAATGTAGTAAGAGTAGGAGTAATTTGTTTTTCTATTCCATATAGTACTCCACTCTTCTAATGATATAGATCTCCCTATTAGCCTCGCCCACTTGATCATATATTCTTTGATCCGTTCTTCCTCCGTTGACCATTCAAGTAATAGCTTATATGCCTTTGTAATATATTTTCTGGGACTGTCCAGAAGTCTATCCCAGGCTGTTGGGTTTTCCATAAAGCCTGTTTGGCTATCTTTCCTAAAATATTCTTTCAGCTGCCAATGTTGTAGCCAAGTGATATTATCATACTGATCTTTTAGTTCTTCCTGTGATTTTAATTTAATCTCCTTTCTTTCCCTGAACAGCAGGTCTTTATATGTTGGCCATGATCCCCACCCCAATTCCTTCCTTTGGTGGGCTTCAAGGGGGGACACCCAGAGTGGGTATATCCTCCCTTTATATTGATCCCATACTTTTAGGAGAGCTGACCGGATAATTGGCAAGATTTTCTGTAGCTTAGCAGTTTAACCCACTGTGCTAAGCTTAAAACTTTATATATAAACTTTATATATATAAATTTATATATGTGTGTGTGTGTATGTGTGTGTGTATATATATACTAAGAGGAAGGTATGTCAAGATTGCATTCTAAAAAAATCACAGATTTAAGTTTATTACTATGTCAATTTTCCTTTTTGAGAGTAATAATTAAGTACAACTAATTAGATGTTTTGATAAAAGACAACCACAAGAGTTTAACAAGGTTTTCATACGCAGAATGTATATCTTAGCATCCTTACCTCCTATTCAATTGTTAATGTTTTCAAGCACATTAAACTCACAAGATGAAGTAACAGTTACACTGATGGTGCCTTCAGAAATAAATTATTCACCCACAATGAGTCACAATAATAGAGAAGTTCAGAAAGATGCAATGGGTCAAATGCCATTCAATTCTGCCTCAGCTACTTAGAGGAGTCTAAAAATACTACAGTACAATTTCCTCTCAACAAAGCATATGAAATAATGGCTTAAAAGTCACTCTGAGTGTTTTAAAAACATTTTCCTTCTGAACCATATAGTGCGCTTTTTTAGTTCAGATATGTGGATGATACCTTCACCATTTGAAGAAGAACTAAACAAGTCCCTGGACCACCTCAACAGCATACACACAAACATCCAATTCACCATGGGGGGGGGGGGGTTAAGGAAAACTGCCATTTCTAGATGCCCTAGTCATCTGCAAACCCAATCAACAATTTGTTCACAGTTTACAGAACACCAATGTAAAAACTCCAACAATTACCCAAATAAAAAAGAAGCACAATTAAAGTCCTGGCAGACCGTGCAAAAAGCATCTGTGAACCCCACCTTCTCCAAGAAGAACTGAACCACCTACACTGGGCTCTACAGGCCAATGGATACTCCACTACAGACATCACAAGAGCTACAAGACCAAGAACAAGCCATCCACCCAGAAGAAAAGTGTTCTTAACATACATCAAGGAAACCATTGACCGCATAGGAAAGCTGATTTTTTTTTCTGTGTCAACAGCGACTTGAGAAACTTCAAGTCACTTCTGGTGTGAAAGAACTGGTTATCTGCAAAAACGTTACCCAGGGGATGCCCAAATGTTTGATGTTTTACCATCCTTGTGGGAGGCTTCTCTCATGTCCCCACATGGGGAGCTGGGGCTGACAGAGGGAGTTCAACCTGCT